TTGCGTCTGTTCCCACCAAGATAGTTTCAGGTTATATTGTAGATGTAATTCTTCTTCCGATTTTAGCTTATTTGTCTGATCTAATAGTCTTTCATAGGTAGAGATATAAAATTTCCGGAAATTTTGAAGCCCGGAAGAAACCCCATTCCCCCCCCATTTTGGGGGGGGGGGAAAACAGAAATTTTTGGAAAAATTGAAAAAAATGCTACATTAATTTCTTTTGTCTTTTCTAGATTGAAAGCCATTCTGTTACTTTAGGAACATAAAATATGACTATGGACATTTTTACTTGGCATGAAATTATCACAACTAGCATATTAAAAATATAGTGTCCAGGGCTCTTTTTGTAGCAGGAACTCTTTTGCATATTAGGCCACACACCCCTAATTTAGCCAATCCTCCAAGAGCTTACAGAGCTCTTCTTACAGGGGCTACTGTACAGTATCCAAACAATTATTGCAAACAGAATACCCACCCACATGCAAAAACAAAACTGAAACCTTTTTACTTTCTTCTGACAACAGCACCTCCTAAAGGAAGAAATGCATCTTGTTCTTGCATTGGAGAGTTCAGTTTGTAACCTAGGACTTGCTTGTCCTCAGTGCACAGAAATTAGATCAATCTGATACCATATGTATTTTTTTAGAAATGATTTGGAAAATATTTGAACACCTTGTCTTAAAATATTTTATTCATCATGTTAAAATAAAATGTTCCATAATCAATTTTCTTTTCTTTTCTTTTTTCAATTTTTCCAACTTTTCGGAAAAAAACAAAAAATCTTCAGGGAAAAAAATGGAAAAAAACGTTTTTTCCCCGAATTTTTCCGGTTTTTTTCCAGGCCTTCACATTTCTACTAGCTTGTACTCTGCTTTGTCTTCTGCTCTGACTCCTGGCAGACCTTGGGCAGAGAAAGGTCTTACCCCACACACCTCCTACCTGAGATATTTACTGGATAGTAACCGAACATGTGACCTTAAGCAAGTCACTTCCACTAAACCACAGCTGCTTCTTGTGTTATATTGATGCTCTTGATGCCAATAGAATACATAAAATGTGTTTCAACAACCCCCCCCACACCTTAGTCTTAAAAAGCACATGAAGAACCTTTGAACCCTTTAGTTTCTTTTTAATATCCCTTCATACTTTCCATCCTGTGACCTGAAAATATAGTTACTTAATTTTGGTTTAGCCTTTTCTACAAGAGGGAGCAGTACACAACCTAGCAAAAGTAGCATTACTTGTGATGGGACATGATTACATTTCAAAATAAAGAGTTGTTCAAGAAATATCTAGTTACTATAAATGCACGAAAGTCCTCGTTTGGGTGAATTCCATCCTAAAGTGCTAAAAGGAACTTGTGGTGCTAGGCAGAACTTCTGACATCATCTGTAAGACATTCAGGAGTAGTGGTAAGGTGCCCCAAAACTGGACATGGCCAAATATTACCCTGGTCTTCACATAGGAGAACAACGAGTATCTGGGAAACCACAGACCAGTTTCAGTATGACTTCTGTACTAGGAAAGACACTGGAACGGATTATTAAGCAGTCAGTTTGTAAACATCTTGGAAACAACGCAATGATTAGTTGAAGGTGGATTTGTCAAGAATAAAGCCTATACGATATGTTAGTAGCTGTTTTTTAATCGGGTTACTAAGCAAATGAGTGCTTGAACTGTGCCTGAATCCCAGCTTTCGCTCTGAATACGGGCAGCGCCCCAGAGCCTGGCTCTGCCGGGCCATCAGCCTTCAAAATGTTTCCGCTCATTCTGCTTCTCTGGCACCCTTGCTTTTTGGTGTGAGCCTTTCCCGGACCAGCAGGGCAACTGGGTCTGTGAGTGCCCATGCCCGGGTACGGCACTCAGAAGGCACTGTGGGTCTGTTTTTACAGCAGGAGTCAGAGGCTCCTGGGCCCCTGCCGAGATGCACAGACCAAGGTCGGTCCGCCCAGGGCCCCTGAGCAAGAGCCCGGGGACGGAGAGGAGGTGGCCAAGAGAAGCAGGTCGTATTCGCCTTTGAATCATCACCTGGCCCGGTGTGGCGGCGGCCCTGGGGTGTGCCGTGGCCCCACTTCCCCGAAACTCACCGTCTTGGAGATGTTCTGGGCAGCGCGGATCTTGCGTAGCTTGATGTATCCAGGGTTCCTGCCGAGGGCTTCCCCAAGGTGCAGAACTAGTTAAGGCGGCAGCTCTCGAAGTCTTGGAGCTCACACTCTTGCCACCTACAACCCTTCTCCCTTCTTGGGGACACCTGCTCAGGACCACCCCACCATGTTTAGAGATCGTCATGCACATCTGCCGAGCAGGGCGAAGGGATAGTCAAGACTGACACAGTCGGTCTCGTTTCTGTTAAAGAGTCTGCAGCTTCCCTCCCTGAACTCGTGGAAGAATTTGCATGTTTGTTGCTGCATGCTGATAGCCTAGCTGTTTAGAGAGAGACCCAGTGGCAGACCATGCACGTATTTGCCACCAGACCAAGGTGTTAAAGTGCATAATTAGTTAAGGTCTGGGTTTCTCCAGTTCGGTAATCAACAGATCAGAAGATGTATGGCTCTTTGTCTCTGACTCTGCCTGGGGCTAACATGTGTGGTTTTGACTTTAGAAAGTCAACATGAAGATTAGTGAAGTCAGAGAGGATGTTAATTCTTTGGTTTGTTTCTAGTATTTTCCCAGTGACCCTTCCCTCATTAGTGAACTAAGTTCCTTGTTTAAAAGCTAATGCAAGTGTCCCGCTGCACGTATTACCTCTGCTTTTTACCTGAAATCCCTAACAATTACCCTTCCCAGTGCTTTCCTTCTCTTGTCTGTCTCCGCAGTCAACTCCTTCGCCTCTCTTGACCACAATATTGGATTGTTTAGAGAGAGGAGGAGAGATTGGATTTCTACCCCGCCCTTCACTCGGAGTCTCAGAGCGGCTGACAAACTCCTTTCCCTTCCCCTACCCACAACAGACACCCTGTGAGGTGGGTGGGGCTGAGAGAACTCTGACACAAACTGCTCTTTTTCAAGGACAGCTGTGCCAGAGCCTGTGACTGACCCAAGGTCACACCAGCAGGTGCAAGTGGAGGAGTGGGGAATCAAACCCGGTTCTCCCAGATTAGAGTCTGCACACTTAACCACTACACCAAACTGGCTCTTTAAAATGGTATCCTCTTCCTTACACTGAAGGAAATGAAACCATGGGGGCTGCTACGCCTGGGAACCTGAACTGAACTTTCCTCCAGATTGATGCTTCTGGAGTTCCTATTTTGAGGTAAGACAAACACCTCCCCTTGCAAGAGAGCAGATCTGCTCCTTATCTTCTGCAGACCACTCCCAGAATACCTGTGCTGGCAAGGTTCCTAATAGTAAGGGAACAAGCCCTGCCTTCCCCAGCTTGGGAACCCCAGACTAAACTGGTTCATGAAAATCCACAGAGCCCCAACGGTCACTGATGCTGCTCTGTTCTTAGCTCCAAGGTGGAGTCCCCTTCATGCTGGAGAGAATCTGGCAAATGGAGACGCGGGGGAGGGTGTAAACTGCTTCAGGTCCCCACTGGGGGGGAAAGGCAAGGCATGAATGAATCACATAAATAAAAGAATTCCGAAAGAGACTCTCTCCCGTCCTCCGCAGCAGCCCCGCCGTAGCAGCCTGGTTTCCCACAAGGAGGGCAAGGATATCATCTTGGCAGCCGTGGCTTCCCCCTCAGCCTGAACAATCTTCTGTCTCTGCTCCTGCTTGGCTTTCTCCACTTGATCGCGCCGCCGCGCGGCATTCCCCTCCGGTCCCTCGTTTACCCGCCAGCGCCAAGGGAAGGATCCGTGGTGTGCCGCCAGCGCGTCTGATCGTGTAATCGCGGGTCAAACTGCGCCGGGGCAATTAGCCACGCCTCCCCGCCGCGATATCCGGCCCGTGTGACCGGGGCCAAAGTTCAGCAGTCCTTGCTGCTGCTTATCTGAGCTGGAAGTGCAACCTTATAGAGCGTTCCTAAAAAAAAGTTACACCTTCTAAACTGGATTTCAAAGAACGCAGAAGGATGTAATTCTGTTTAGGATCGATCCAGGTGGGCAGCCATGTTGGTCTGAAGCAGCAGAACCAGTTTTTGAGTCCAGTATCCCCTTTGAGACCAACAAAGGTTAATTTAAGGTATGCGCTTCCATGTGCACGCACACATGAAACGGAACTGTTTTGTTAACTTCCATTTCAATGTTACCTGAGGAAGTGTGCGTGCGCATGAAAGCTTATACCTTGAATAGACCTTTGTTGGTCTTGTAGGTGTCCCGGGACTCAAAATTTGCTCTGTTTGGGATTCTACTGCCAGTGGCCTTAATCATGTTGCCACTGCTAGCAAGGGGAAAAGAATACTGGCCCAGTTTTCACCCAGGTGGTAAGTGAAAGTTCAAAAGACGGAAAGAAAAGTTATTCATCTGGAGGTTAGCGCCTGAAGCGGCCTTGTTTTCTTGTTTCCTATGCAAGGGCCCCACCCACGTTCTGCCAAGTCTGCCAAGCGAGGCCCCACCCGCATTCCACAGACACACATTTGCATCCACGGTGGGGCCACCACTATACGCTGGTAAGCAAACAGCAGCATTCAAGCAACAGGGTGGTACTGTGGGATGCAGTCCACCCTACTCCCATAGTGCCAAGCGGTACAGCTCAGACACTAGTTGGCGTCTGCAGTGAGGCCACTGTTACACACTGGTGGCAAACATCGGCATTTTATTTATTTTCTTCCCCGCCCACCCCGCAAATATCAGCATTGAGGGATCTGTGTGATATCTGCTGACCATACCATCACAAAACAGGTCTTGCTCATTTGGGGACCAAGTGCTACTCAGAGAACCACCAGATTTTACAGCACAGGCAACCAAGCTGTGAATCTGCACTAGCTCAGACCTTTTTGTTATGCCATATCAACGTTACCTGGGAACAAAACCATCATCCCGGTGGCGACAGAAAGA